ATATATTAATATTATAATATTACACAATTACAATAGAAATTTGAAATGCTATATTATTATAATCTTATATCTATAAATCTATTACTATTCTGTGGTATTTTACAAGATATTTCTTATCCCCTATCGGCCCGCAGCCGCCACTCTGCCACCAACTACAATTACAACGTCGATTACCACTGGGTGGTGGCGAGTAGTGGTCGCGGTTCAACGGTTGTGAGTTGGGACTGTTAAAGTGGGTAATAACTCACAAATATTCTGAAAATAATCTAAAAGATATTCTGAACAAAATTGTTTTTGAAGACATCATTAATAAATTAATAGCTATAGGAGCCCGGTATTTGGTAGAATGTTACTATTTAAAAAATTAAAAAATAAATAAATGATTTTAAAAATGTGTTTTGTTGTACATTGTTTTCTTTTGATATAGTAGCTAATATAATTATCCTAGTAATGTAATTGCGAGCGAAGTGAACTTATTTTTTTTGCATGTGGGCCAGGGGCCCCTTTTAATAATTTCCCGGTAGAAAAAAAATGGCCTATCCGCCCATGGTCTCCTAGCTTGGTCGGCAGATGTATCTTCGCCTGAACGGCTAGATAAGGGGCAAGGTGCAGCCCCAGCTTGACAAAACTCTCGATGACGTCGCACGCAATATGAACGCGGAAACACGAAACTCTTAGCGGCCAACAGGCAAGCCGTTACCACAACGAACGGCGGTTCAACCATGTGGTTTATAACCGACAACGGTAGCTCGATGTAACAACCAAATGGAGCTACCAACTAAAAGGGTGTCGGCGCCCTTTATAAAGATTCAAAATGCTCAAGCCACGAGGTTACGAGCACGCAATTATTACAAACCAGCAGGCACGCCCTAGCGACCCGTGGTTAGGACCCAAAAAGGGGGTTAGGTCAGGGTTAGATTAGGTTAGGTTATGATTGAAAATATAGGTAACTAGGTAAATATAAGTAATCGAAAAAACTCATGATCATGATGGTGGCACGCCAACGGTAGGTCCCGTCGTGCCAAAGGTAAAAACAACACAAAAATGATAACGTATGATTCGTATGCAACGTATAAGACAATTCAAAACATAGAGTGCCGTCGTGCAATACCTTAGAGAATTATAAATTAATTATTTAGGTTTAACCCGTGTTATTCAGATTTCTAATTAATAGAATATGGTGTATTTTTGTCAAATATTTGTATACTTACCATCAAACTTAAATACTGTACCACCTTCTACTGTTTAAAAAATTATAATTAAAAAAATGTAATGTTAATTCAAAAACAGCTATAATGAATATAGGTAGCTAATTTTAACTATAAAGTTAAATATTCATGTTGTATTAAGTATTATAATGAAGTTTGGACTAGATGATATAATTTTTGTCTTACTAAAGTTGAGCATATATTTAACTAATAAAGTACGTTTAAAATTTTTCATATTATACAATTGAAATATGTTATTCTTTAAAATATCATATTATCATAACAATTTAAAAACATTATTATTATTTTTTATTTGGTATTATTGTATATTATACTATATAATATAGCACACAATGTATAATGGCCCCACTGAGCAAACTCGGGAACCCATGAGTTATAAAAAAATAGCCATTACAAGTTTTAAAATTTTTTTTTTCATATTGTAATTTAAGTTTTAGAACATTTTCATCATTAGATTACTAATTAGATAATAAAATATTTACCAAAATTAAATTCTAATATCTGTCCTGTACATTCTAAAATTATAAACAAATTGTAAATGGAATAAATATTTGCTTGCTTAAAAGTGTGTAATTCAACTATATTTACAGTAACATTCAAAGTACTAAATAATTTTATTGAATATAGGAGATTTTTGATGATTTGAGTAGAGATATATTAGTCAAATTATGTAAGAATTTATAAGTAGATGATATTAAATATAACAATTGGTTGATAATGTTAATGTGCTTAACAAATAATTCAATTTATTCTTTAAAAGTTGACTAAACAGCTTTCTATTAAGCACTGTAAAACCTATTTATAATGAAATCACAACGGGACAGTTGTTATTTTCCAATTCTTTCTTATATTGTGTCATTATAAGAAGATTTTACAGTTAAAATATAAGTTAAGTAAAATATTATTAAATAGCTGTGCATGTATAAACATAAATCGTTATCAAATGATTAGTATTATGAATTATATATAATTATATTATAATTATGTAAACAATTAGTTTACTTACGTTCTATCGTTTCTGTAAATGTATAAACATAATAATATTGTTAAAGTTGTTAAAATACTACGGTTTACTACAAAATGTAATTTCTATTGCACACCAAAATCGTTGTCAAAAAACTTATCCATCCAAAAGCCCACATTAATGCCATTGTTGACTGTTTTATGCACATACACAAAGTTACTGTAATCACGACTCACGAGCTACGAAGTATAATATTGTGTGGGGAAGAACACGGATCTGATGTACCTATTATGTCATCAGACTATCCTACTAGGTGTGCACTATGCAAAGGTCATCACTTAGGCAATTTTATTAGAAAGGCTATTTAGTTTATAAAAATCTTAAGCTTCCAAACAGTTAAAATAGACGAAAACTTGTCTTCCTGCTCCCAAAACTAAAAACAATTTTTCTAAATCCACTTTAAATTTCAATTCTGATAAACCTTATATGCTCAAGCTACTTCTTCAAACCAATACCATCTCCATTCTTTTTCAGACATTGAAACATTATTTACTTATTTTATTTTCGTGTTCACAGCTATCATAAAGGATACAAGCCATTTTTTCCGAATCAAAATTTTGAAATGAACTTTTTCCCAAATAGTATTTTGTCCAAAACTTTTTTTCCCGACGGTAATTGTTCCCGAAAAAAAATTAAAAAATGTTGTTATTTTGAGGATCTTTTTCCATATATGATCGATGAAATCAGTCTGCTAGTCATCAAGCTGCGTACTAACCCCGACGATCGTTCATTGAAGTGTACACTCATATGATGCTAGCATTGGCATTCGTACCTTTGGCTTAAGTTCCTCGCATTTTCTCTCTCTCAAGATCTATTACCAATTTTTGAATATTTTGAAAAAAAAAAATGTGTTCTTGGAGTAAAATCTCGAGGAAGAAGACCAGAGATTATTTCAGATTATCCACCAGAAATTTGGAATCAACACCAAGCAGCTCTGACTGATTCACATAATATAAGCTAGGAGTAGCACAATCGCTTCCAGCTCGTTATTGAAAAACATCATCCCGGCCTTTACTCCGCTCTCAGTCAGTTCCTAAAAGAACAAGATAATGCAGAGCTAATGATATCGGAGCTGAGTCTAGGACGAAAAGTAAGAGCTCAGCTGAAAAGAAAATGGTTGGATTTTAAAATGAGAATTTTGTCCATTACTGCTGATCTTAATAAATACCAGGAGTTACAATTTCTGAGGCTCCTCCCTGATCATAAAGCCCCTCCTGTGTCTTTTAACGACTTTATTATGTAAAGGTCCGGTATAATAATTATCTACACCAATTATATCTATATTCTATACGTTATTGTTATTGTTTATTTTAATATGCAAGCTAACTACATAAGATTCAATATTAATAATTGTCATCCGGTCCTGAAATTTAAATTATGTGAACAATAACTGAACTTACCATTTGTTTTTTCTGTAAATGTATAAACATAATAATTGTTAAAGTTATTAAAAACTACGGTTTGGAAATAGCACATATTATTGATATATATTATTATTGACTATATTCAATATGGGAACATGGAAACGGAATTGGGTCAGATGCAGTATATACCATCAGATTTTTACGGTCAGCTGGTTTTAGCCGGAAAAAGTTTCGCAGAAATAGCACGGAGGCTTTGGATTGTATTTTGCTGGAAGATATAAGTAATTGTTCTTATTTTGAACTTGAGAAGGAACCTTCATTGAAGGTAATATTACCTATAGCCACCAATTATTGGTCTTCAATGGGCCCCCATTACCGATGCCTTCGAAAACCACACACGCATTGAAAACATCCCCAACAAAAAAACTATGTATATTATTATTTGGTATCGGTAAATTTTTTACCCAATTGGTGCTCTTTTTTATTGTTTTAAAAATAATTCATGCAACAACTTTTTCAGACACAGTTAGAATGGGACACTCTAATTCCTCCTTATCTACCTATAGGTAGGTGTCATTTTTTTCCGGAGGTGCCATCGTTGGCCAATATATAAATTTCTTGTCATATTATTAACACCTTACGTGCTTCGTTCATCGTGTTATTATGGCTCACTACCAATCAAAAGTTATTCAGGATTCTTGTCACCAACTGAGTAGCCATTCCCTACTTATAAATTGCTTGTCGCATTTGTCTACCATGGCAATTAACAGTCATTAACTTGAACAGACTTTCCAATTTGTATTATTATTATTATTGAACTTATTATCATAATAACAATTATCATACGAATTCATATGAATCTCGTGTCACAAATATTTATTTATTTACTATTGGCATATTTTATCTTTTGGTCTAGATATACCTTTTAAATATTCAGTTGTGATTTTTTAATATTCATCTCTTTAATTCAATTTTTTAAGTCCACTATTGTCGTACATCGCCGTAATGGGCAGTATTCCCATGTCAGGGTGTGGAAAATACCTATCAACACTCATTATGCCGTCCACCCGATCACCCGTCAAGGCTGACCGAACCAAGTTGCACACACACAATATGATTGATTGTAAGAGAGAAACAACTTTATTCAAAGTGAACTGCCCGTCTACCGGGTTGCCTATATGACAAAGTGTAAAAATCAAACATAATTGATACAATGGAATGGATAAAAATAGTATATAAATGAGATTAATAAATTCTTTTTTTTTAAAAATACAATAAAATATAGAGTGTTAATTGAATATAAATTGAAAGTCATTGTGCTTTGAACACGGTGAATAAGATTATTAGTAAAATTAAGGTTTTACAATATTGATATAAATAATATTAAGTGTATAAATGCTCATGGATAATATTAAGTGTGTCTCTCATGACAGCTAAGCACATTTCTTTTATTTCTCTTAAATCTAATGCCGTGTTTTTAAAGAAGTATCTAAGCAGAGGGGACGCAGTCCCACGTACCCCGAACCTTAGGCCATGAACTTCCCAATTATTTATTTGGTATTTTTCTTTGAAGAAAGGGACAGTTGGCTCGTAGATGGGTTTCTTCTCTTCGTCCACTAATTTGTCTTGATTATCCTCGTTTGTTTCCCATCTCAGTGTAGGCTCCAGAATCATTCCTTTACCTTTTGTTCGGTCAAGGATGACTATATCCTCTCTCCTATTATGATGGCTGTTATCGCCGGAGTGTGCCAAGCAATGTACTTCTTCGTGCACCTCAAATCCTTTTTTCCGAAATAGATTAGGTAGCTGGGTGCGAATTTTATGGTGTGCAGAATTTCTGAGCAGCTCAGATCTTGGACAAGATCCTCGGATGTGGGAAAGCGTTTCAATTATGTTCTTCTCACGGCAAGGAGGATTACTGCAGTGGTGGTTTTCCTGCTCCGACCTCCCGTCTCACGATTTGCCATCGAATTCATTGACATCTTAATACCATTACACCGGTCGCTACTTGTTATGCCCAATTTATTTGATACCCAGCTGTTCGCAGGGGTAAATTATTTAAACCATTTTATACCTATGGTTCTCTGTGGAATTTGTGACCATTTATCAAACTCTAATGCGCGTATTGCGCGTACGTTAGTTCCAACCACTCCACCCAGCTTCTCTCTACATTATTTAATTTCTGAGTCCATATTACGAGTGATATGTAGATGTTTGTCATTGATTTTGAGGAGGTTTTGACATATGTTGATATGCTGTTGTGAACCTTCCCAGGTTACTCGTAAAATTCCAAGGCCCCGGAGCTTACGATTGGTGTAGTATACCAGAATTGGGTTGTCGGCAGGGAGTCCTATTATCTCTCTTACCCCTTGTCGCATAATGGAGTCAATTGATTCTAAGAATGGACGTTCTGAGAGATCAAAAAGAGGTTTTCTGCATGGGATAGATTAATTTTGGGAATACATTTTACATACTGTTCCAGTATATTTAATTTTTGGTCGCCTCGCAATAGAGGAGAGGTGATAAGCATCCTAAAGTCTTTTTACAAATTATAGTTAAATATTATTATAAGCTACAACTAAACCATCCTCAACTTTGATCGTCAGTCAAAAAAAATTGAAAATAAATTGTATATAGGTAATTATGAAGTTCCCCAAAAGTTATTCTTCGAATATCTAGTTGAAAATAATCGAAAATACATTGTCACAATTAAATTTTGTAAACTTTTATTTCATAATTTAATAAATTAGGTAATTATATGAAAAATAATTATTTTTCTTCTAACTTATGGTTGTAGGTTGTTTAAAAAGTAAAAACTATAGTGACAAAACTATGCATACCATTCTTCAGTATATAATCATATTTTGGAAAATTGTATATTTATGTTATAATTTGGATTTATTATACAAACATACTACACAGTACATGCACATATTTATACTATTACTCACTTATTGAAGTACAATATGCTTGTGGATTCTCTAAGATATTTTCATTTTCTTAAAAATGAATAAAATAATTTGTTATGAGGTTAGGTTGCCTATTTCAATTGTTACATTATAAATATAAAAATTCAACACATTTAAGACGAATTCTTTAAAAATAAATTAATTTACGAATAATACTTACCCTCCTTTGTAGCATAGATTTTCGAATAAGTTATTTCTAAATAACCTGCCAGTAATTTAATATTATTAAAATTAACAAATATTTTATTGTATAAGGTTTAAAAATTGATAGTCTGTTATTTTATTTTAAAACATTAATAACGTCTATTCGTATTGTACCTATAATTTATTATTTTTTGGTGCTCAAAAGTTTTTTAAACTTATTGAAATAAACGGGTTACCAAACCAATACATTGAATTATAAAATCCATAACATTGTTATAAAATTGTATCAAATTGATTGATAAAAATGTATCAACTGTGATGACAATTATTAATATTTTATGCAATCAGCTAAATATTGTAAAACCCATCCGATGTTAAAAATATTTAAACATATATAAATTTATAATAATAAAATACTATAAATATATATAAATTTATAATATTAAAATACTATATAAACTGACACATTTGCCAACTGTGGTCATATCAGTCATACTAAACTTTTTAATTATTCCACAATGTTTTGTTTTGTTGGGCAACTGTGCCTAGTGGCTGGAGGCTGGAGGTTAATTTATCTTTATTGCAATCACTAGCAACACTCAAACATGGATAACACAATGGAACCTTGGTTGTATGTATCTCGAATTCTTAAGAGACCAAAAAAAATATTCGTCGTATCAGAAACTTCAAGATATGACAGGTACCTAAAACTGAGGTCCCACTGTATTACTTAGGTACCTGCTTACAATATAATTTTTTTAATATTGTACTTTCGTCTGCAGAATATTATAGTTTATCAGTTTTAAAAAAGTCGTCATTAACTGCAGATTGGATATGGATTTACTAGCTGTGGGGTATGAGTTTTTTTATTGGCAAACATTTGGTTGGTTAATTAGTATTTTAAATTGTTAGTTAACACAACATAAGTAGTTAAGAAAATAAATTTAAAACGAAATGAAAAAATATTTTTATCGTTGCCAAGTGATGTAACACCTACAAGTTTATAATTTGGTAGACGGACACTTTGTACCTACTGTCTATTGATTAGTTTTCATACAAATTTTCATAAAAACTTAGTACCTACGGTAAAAATAAACTGGAAAATATATTTTTTTAAATATGACAACATCAGGTTGTTCAAAACTCTAGGCCAACTCCCTACATATACGTCATTATTTTTTAATTTTTTTTAATACGAATGTCAAAACATTTTTTTTTTTACATGAATACTGATTGTTACCCTTATTTTATTTTTGAAAAAAGTGTATTGATAATTTAATAGTTTAATGCTAAATTAGGATTTTTTCGTTGCTGTGTATTATACTTTATTTAGGATAAGATTGAACCACTTGGCTGACCATAACTCATGTTTTCGGCGCATCTCCACTACGAAACATCCACCTCCCCCCAAACAACCATCAGCAATTCATACATATTAGGTATACACAGTAGCAGCACCGACGAAGACGAATACCGATGATCATTGGCTACCGCCAATATGATTGTCAATCAATAACAAAACGCAAAGCAATCATCTGGTGGTCGGACGATGATCGACAGCTTAGTCTACATTCACAAAAGTCGTTCAATCTTAACCTGAATAGAATTTTTTTTATATACGTAGATTAAAAATAAAATTACTAAGTTTAGATATAATCATTCTGATAAAATCATTCGCGATATCCATCTTTATTCTGTAGTCATGACTTATGGTAGATTTCTGATCATTTGATTTATCCATTGTTTCAAGTCCATTTTCTTTAGTTAAAGTCACAATTTTACGATTTACTATGGTAACTCTTGTATTCACGTGCTCTATAAATTTTGTATAGGTTTCTAGGATATCCAGTTGTTCATGATGGTGATCCGCAAATGTGAATTACCGCGCATAGTGTATGAAAAATAAAAGATTATTATATAATAATTTATATGTATATTAATATGTATGGTGTGATTGACATTATTGTGATTTACATGAAAAATAGGTTTATTGTTAAAAAACACGACTATATTCTTTTAATTTATAGAATATTACCACTGTTAATTACTTACCAAATTGCAGTACAAAATTCAAATTATAAAATCCAAATTGAGCTATAAACAATATATTATAAATACATTACTCAATTAAACGCAGATTTATCGACGGTTTAAAATATTTAATATTAATGGGTATTTGATAAAATAATATAAATACAATAGTTATAAAATAGTTTTACGTATTTAAAAAAATAATTGTTAAAAATCTAATCTGAAGATACATAAAAGCAAAAAATCGGTATAAGAAAACTTGTTGATAGGCACCAATATATCATAAACCTATACTTACGTTGAAACCCAACTTTTGTTAATACATCTGTTTATTATATTTCAAAATAAAAATTAAATATTAGAAAATATATAATTTATTTAAAGAATTTATTTATGAAAATTATTATAATCAAATAAAAAATTAGTATACAATTAGGTATTTAAAGATTATTGTAACTAAATCTCGTAAAGCTAATCACAGCAATAAGGGAACGTAGTTCAAAAGAAGAATTAGTTATAGCGACCTAAGAAGTGAATAAATATAGATTACTACATTTTAGTACAAAATAAAGCTTGAAATTATAGTTGAAACCTTAAATATCATACAGAAGGTTTGCCTATATTATATTTATTTTGGTCACTTTCTCGTCTTTATGTTATTTATTAGGATAAAATAAAAGTGTAAGATGTACCTATGAACTATATAATTTTTACTAATATGAAATCTCTTACCCTTGCATTCTAAAAAAAATTAAAAAAATACTGCATTAAATACATTTTTCAATAATTAAAATTGATGAATTTCATTGACTGGATATTAGTAATATAGATATTTTAATTTTGGTATACAATTAAGTTGGAAAATCTAGTTAGAAAATATCATAAAGGTATTTCTAGATTTCCTTTATATTTATAATATATTATATTATTGTTTTAAATATATTTGCTATTTTCTATATCACTACTGCCAGTGTTGCCAACATTTTGATGGGCACTTGATATTTATTTAACTAGATTATAAAATAAATAACATACTTACACTTAATGTTTTGTTTTATATAATAGCTGACAATCTTTAGACTCTTTTTAGATACCAATTACAAGTTAAGGTCCCCACACACTGCAGCGGTGGCGGTGGCGGTGAATTGCTGTACGACACATTTCACCGCTCACCGTGGCGGTGAAGCCAAGACAATAGAATTTAACGCCATCGCCCGCGCCACCGCTGCAGTGTGTGGGGACCTTTAACAGTTTTGATTTATTTTATAATTCCTAATTGACGGTTTATTTAAATGTATAGAATTTATTAGATATTTTCTATACATGGTCAAATTTTCAAACAGTTTTGACTTTTCATGAGCTATTTATATCAAATTTTGTATTTTTTTTTTAAATTGTATGCAATGATTTATATAATACCTAGGCGCAATTTACACAATACAATATTATTACAATAGTAGTGTTATGTAAACTTATGTTTCTTAATGAATTATAAAATAATTGTCAATTGTTACCTTCCGCTGATCCATT